TGCTATTGGGTGCTTTTGATATCATGAATTGGATTTACTCAATGATGTAATATTCAGCTGTGATGAGTTACCTAATCAGCTGTGACGATATGAAGTATGAACCATCCATCCAAGACACCTATCTTTATTTCTTCTTGTTTTAACCTTTAGGTCCTTTATGAATTATTTCATTTTTTTGCTAAACCTGAATTCAGGTCATATGGATATATTTCTATTATAGTAAAAGATGATTCTCATGTCAAAAAATTACCCATTTAAGTCTCATCAGAATCATTATTTATAAATAAAAAATTTAGAAATCCAGTAACTAGGAGAAATGAATCCACTTAAAGTTGAATTGCGAACCAATTTTTCACAGTTGTCCAGGCACAGAATCTATATGGTGCAGAATTTCCATATATTTGGTACCAATATCAACTGATGTCGAGAAACTGAGGCTTGGGAGTGGACAATTTGAGTAATATTAGCAAGAAGTTTATGTTGCATGGTAACGGAGTCTAATTTGATGAGCTGTAAAGGTTTTTTTTGTCAGCTAGAAATTAAAATCAAATAGAAAAGGGAGCTGAAAATCTATGCGATACCTAGGGCCTTGGTCATCAAACCAAAGAGAAAGATGCATCATTAGTCAAAGAGAGCTGAACTGATACTTCTGCAGCTTATATAAGGAGTAAAAATTGGGAAACCGCAAAGCCCAGGATAAAGAAAAGTTGGGCTTTAGACTTGTTCTTAGAGACAATTATCAAACTTGCTCAAAATTACCATCCCAACCTGATGTCTTCAACTTCTCAATTTTTTTTTTTTTTGAGGACGAGCAATTAGAAAGATGAAAAGGACAAAAGATATAGGTGCACTACTACAAAGACCAAGTCTGCCACATATGATAGGAATTTATTGGGATGGGTGTTTGTCTTCCTTTTTATGTCCAATCCTGGATGGAGGAGGATTGAGTTGGGTTGACAGTCAACTCAAAACATTTTCACATGTTACGAAATGAATTCCCATATTTATTGAGAATAAGACTAGTTTATTGTTCTTATTATTCTTTATCTTCTTGAGAAGACCAAGTCTTTAACTTTCCTATCTCTCTCTCTCTTTCTCTGGTCTTCAGTTGGCCACTTTTCTTTATCAGAAATAGGTGTTAATACATGAACAGTGATTATTATTTCGTTGGCACAAACATGATATCTTGGGTGCCATTTGTTTGGCTAAAGATGCTATATTTTTTTCTAACTGTGGCTATTATACAGTTTGCTTTACTGTCAACTGCCTGGAAATTATTTGGTGTTCCTTTGTGTCAAACATTTCTCATTGAGTTTCATTCTGTTTGATTGATGAATAAGGATATGTTGAATATGAAGCACCGTGATATATTCTTATGTTTCCAATTGGCTGGTTTAGTAGGGAAGAATCCCTTTTGTTTCACTTTTTCCTGATAGATGAGAAGTTTAATATCTTATTTCATTCTGCAACTTGCATTCTTAGTTTCCTAGAGAGAAATAGGTTGTACTTGAAAATTTGGGATGTGGGAAATTGAGCTAATTTGTTCTTGGAATCTGAACATTAAATGGGTGTCTGGGAAATTTTAAGAAATAATATCAAAAGGGAAAGAAATCTTGCATCATTTGTAGGGTCCCTTGTGCATTAGAATGTGGGGTTAGATTGCATCGTACAGTTGTCTCCCCTTAACTCACAAAAAATACATAATTATCCAGCCTCCGTTGATCTGTGAATATCATATGAATTTTGATAATTTCTAGATATGTCCATCTTCTACTAGGACCAAACAGATTAATCAACCAAGCTTGCGAATTTTTACTTGAATGAAATGAATTAGAAATCAAATATACTGTGAACTCTAAAATTGTTTCACTGAAATCGCTTGCACACATTTGCTTAACTCTCTTATATTGAGACTCCATTTATGGACACTTCTTTTACATTTTTCCTATCTTAGAGAATAAGTAGGATAACTTGAATGGCTAGAAATGTGTAGCTTGTTTGGTTACCAAAGGAAACTGTTTCCCAAAAACGATTTTCCTTCCATTTGTCTTCCTGGAGACATAAATTGAAGTGAAAATTAAATTATAAAACAGTAAAAGGACTGTTTTAAGTGTTGCATTGCCATATTTCGTAATGCACTGCTCTTTCCTATGTACACAGGTTTGAGATCTTTTCCTTTTCTGCGGGAGAGACCACAAAGACTGAAACCTAATTATGACATCGAGAAAATTTCTTATGAAATTAATTAAGTAGGTTTAGCTATTCAAGAATAATGGTAGTTTGCTGGAGATGGTGGAAAACAGCTATATTACTACAAAACTCACAGCTAAGCCCCCGTTTGGCCCCCATTATTCCCTATTAAATTATAATTCATTTTCTCTCTTTTTATCAACCACACATTCTCCAATAAAATAATATTACACGTAAATCCAAAAATATTTCCTTTTTTTAACCACACATTCTCCAAAAAATAACTGTCTTCTCATTTTAATTTGGAATAATGGGGGCCAAACGGGGGCTAAATAGGTTTGAAGAGCCAAGGGGATTCACCACACTTTTATCTGGTTATGAATTCTTTTTTTTTTTTAATCGAAAGTAGAATTAATGCAACATAGTTCTTTAGTTAAAATGTTCAGGAAATAGCTTTGCTGGCATTATTAGTAATAAATTCATTGGTACAGTGTTAATTTTTATGGGACATTGAACAGATAATGGCTATAAATAAGCCTATAAGCAATAAAACTGAATAGAAAAAGATAACTGGTGAAGCAATGTGATTAATTCCATTGCCTTGCTCGTTTGGTGGCATCCATTCTTCTTTGTGGATTATATACTTGTCCTAACATGCTTGTCTGTATTGAGATGGCTTCCCCTGTACTGTATCTATTATTTTACATCATTAGGTTATTGGGTTCTTGATCTGTTTGTTTCCCCTTAAGTGGTTCAACATGCCCCCTAACGTGCAAGTCAATTTCATTTTTTTCATTAGTCTTGACACGCACCAATTTTCATAAATGGGCGATTAAAAGAAATTTTTTGTCTTGATGCTCTGAACCATTTATTTACTATCGCAAAGTTTTGGATACGTGTGCTTTCCTTTTTCTTAATTCCCGTTCTGCTTTCTTCTACAATATCTCTAGAATTAGAATTGATGAGTCTGTTTCTATTTTCCTGCTAGGAGGTTGGTTGAACGGGTTTTTTGTTGCATTTGCATTTGAAAAGGACAAATCAAACTGACTTAACCTTACATTGGCTGTCAAAATTGCACTTATCCTTGTGTATAAATAACTCTATTTCATTGTGAATGTCATACTTTTAGGAAAAAATTGTCGCAATGCTTTGTGCCTGAATTCATTGTTTTATTTCACCCTTTCACAGTAAGGAACCTTCCAATTTCTCCATTTATCCTTGAGCTCGTCCTTCATCTTTTCCATCTTGTGTTGAGTACTCGTGTCCTTTCACTTTAACTGTATCTTCTATTTTCTGTATAGTTCTCATTCTGTTTTAGGTATCTTTTATTTACCATCCCCTTCTTTTGTATGAGACTTAAGGCAGTTACCATGTTTAACTAAACAAGGTATCCATATTTGGGGACAGGTGAATGGTCCCATTTCTCTTAAAGCACGCTCTTTACTGAACTCTTCCGTGGACTTTGCATTGCAATTCATTTATGTTCTTATTTTAATAACTACTTCGCTAGCTAGATCTCACAAGCGGCGTTTCTTTCCTCTTGATATTATGAAGATTTTTTCGAGCGATGTTGTCTACATAGACGATTTCCAACCGAATGTTTGATTCTCATGCTCACGTAATATATCAGCACGTTTTGTGTGCAGCACAATGAATAAGATTTTAACCTTTTCATATATATTCAGTATATGTAGTAATGTCATCTTCTGATACCTACCAATGATAAAGGTCCACATTTTGACATCTTTATTGGCGATTTAATCTACTTTACACAGCCGAATTTCTTTAAATTTTGTGTTGGTAAATCTCCTCCAGTGTTCACTGTAATGCAAGAAGACATCCCTTTCTGGTCATTTTGGTATTATATTCTATGGACTTTTATGGACTTCCAAAATTCCAACTCTTTCTTTACTTCACTTTGAGCACTATCCAATATCCAATAATCCTGACCAAATATGTTAAAAGCCAAATGGTGCATCTTGCTTTGCCGCTGATTGTGACTTTTACGCTCAACAAATGCACTTTGCAATCAAATAGTGATAGAAGTATGGAACTTGAAGGTCGGGTTGACCTGTAAGCCTCATCCTCTACTTATACATTCGTCATTCGGTGTCTTTGGACCCAGGGTCAAACTCTTCTTTGTTTTCTAGATAACAGCATTGAACGAAACCAAGTCGGTTTAAAGGTCAATGGTCTTTCAGTTTTTTCTGCTTCAGAATCATCTCATTACAGGTCGAGTTTATCATGTTTTAGTTGTGTAGTAATTCCATCTTAGTATCAACAAATGAGCATATTTTTTTTAGCTGGGACCAAGTGGTAGCGAAGCTCTAGTGTAATGATAGCAAATCAATTGAACCTACTAATAAAATTTTATATAGTGAGTCAATAATTTAACCATTAAAGTCATCTATGCGCCCAATAGACAACCAGCAGCAAACAGGCCAGTATACCCTGATATCTTTTCGACCAACAACCCAAAGATGAATATTGACTGCCCTGCATTGAATTTGCACAGGTCAATTTAATATCCTATATACCATGTAAATCCCCTAGCAACTCACAGATATAATTTTCCGCCAGTCGCTATCTGTCATTACAACATTTTCAATGTATTCCAAGTATACTTGTTGATCAGTACATTTCTCGCATGAAAAAGTGCACAAAGTATGATCAAGCCTCGGAAGAAATGCAAATTGCTACTCTCAACAAGTATTACATGGAAACATGCGATTTGTTTCACCAGAAATCTCATCATTCAGACACCTGACTGCGGTTTCGGCAAATCTATTGGGAAAAATCATAAGCAGGTATCAACCTAGTCTTGCTTCTCTTTGTAGTACCTGAAAAGAAATTACGCACACAGAAAAGCAAGAAATGTCAGTCCGTTTTTGAAAGAATTTGAAGCTAGGTCGGGTTACAAATTGACTAGCTGGGTACAGGGTCAGACTACAGACATTACTTTTGGCATTACAACACGAAGATGCTATCGTCATACTGAAACCAGTAACTCTTTGGCTGCTAGGCCATTAGCCAAGGATTTAACCAAATGCCACTTATTTAGAAAAATGATCTTGAGAACACATGTTCAGGAATTACCTCTTCAGCAAATTTTATCAAAATGGTTGTTCGAGGTCGTTGCTGCCCCTCCACAGGTACAAAATGTGCACTTACCACAGCTGGAAAACCTGCATTATCCAGGACTCCCTTCAAGATGAAGTAAAGCCCGTCAGAACTAATGACACGACTAACACTAAAAAAAAAGCATAGTTCAATGAAACACGTACTCTCACTATTCCTGCAACAAATGCTCCGCAGTTGAAGGCACCCATATCTTTGGGTATTGAAATAAATCTAAAATGTCATATCGCATGTGAGCTGAAGACGGCAGTTAACACCCCACACCTTTATAACACCCAAACAAACTGAAGAAAACAAAAAGTAAAAAAAGATCTCACTAGTTTCTGATTACAACGTAGATCATGGACACAGAAATTTCACCTGTTTAATAGGAGTTCTTTCTCACTGATCATATACTCGTCTTCATGTTCAGTTCCTTTTTCAAGTGAGTCTGCTACCTGATGTTAATATAATACAAAAACTAAACTAGTTATATATCATGTGGGATCTGTTTCACAAATTTACAAGATTGAAAATGCACATTTATAAATTAAGGGGTAGTGCATCACGTCTCACAAAACTCTGCTTCACGCCGTTTCTAACTAACATGGTCTTAAAAATGTGATCATATAAGGTCCGCAACAAGCAGCTTGCCAGCACTAAATGATAGCGCGTGGATGGATTGCATAACATGGAAAGAGATTGCTTGATGAATAATAGCATATATTGTTTAGATAAAAGAAATGTTGAATAAAAGAGATATTTATCAGAATAAGTTAGTCTGGTACACAAAAACTTGTGTTGCTTGGGTATCTTGAATTCCTAATAACAAAAGACGAGGAGCCTCACAGACAAGAACTCAAAAGAGTATTCATTCCAGGGTGATTTCATGATTCACAAGCAATAATCTTGAGCGAAAGTATAATACATCAATCAGAACTGACAAAGACGAAGTGGATACATTTCATCAACTAAACAAAACTATATACCATCTGCAGCATATACAAATAAGTCCCTCTGTATCACTGATCACACATTCCACCTATTACTAAGAGAATTTTGTGAGCTGCCTATGTTATTATAAACGCCACATTAACTGTTAAATGTTCAAGGGAGCACGGAGCTATATAATCATGTTTTTTGAAAGGGTTTTAGGTGAATTTATGAAAATCTGGGTTACCAAAACAAGGCAATTTTTTTAGTACTTTTTGTTTAGATCATAAACATTACAGAAAATAATAACATAGTTATTCAAAAAAAAAAAAAAAAANCATACAATTGAAAACACTTAATTGAAATCTTTTGTACAAAGATCATTAAATTTTCATATCCCTCAACGGTTTGTTTGAACTCATAAATTTATTTTCAGGTTCATATTTTAAGACTTGAAGCATAAAACAACACCATTAAGGATTTTATGTTTTCAGGAAAATATATTAATACAAGGATTCTGTATTTCAATTCTAAATGTCTGCATAACACTAAAATGACAAATTCCTGAAATAGAAAGGTCAAAGCCTATAATATTCTGACTATATAGAGAAATAATTGAAAATTATGGTATTCTCTCTCTCTCTCTCTCCTTTTTGGGCTTTTTGATGTTTTTATATTGCCTTTTTCCTTAGGCTTTTTTCGTTTTTTGATGGCATTTGCTATTAGGGATATCAGAAACTAAAATCTAAAGACTGAACTATTAGATCACAATGAGTACTGAGTTTTCAACATGGTAAATTGTTCTGATTAGGCAATGAATGTAAACCACTGAATGATCAAATATTTCAGTCAAAAGGTTGTTTTGCTATCATAACAAAGCTAATTGCACAAGAAGACATTGTTATTTAACATACTATATGCGTCTAGAGTATGTTTGTGCGTATGCAAATTTTTTCACTCATTCTAAGTAGGTCATAAGTTGGCAAGTGAAATTATTTAAATGTTACTATCACGCTTTATTGAAGAAAAAAATCTTTTGGATAATAAGCGTTAATTGATGTTAGCAGATTCTCCTCTCTCTCTCTCTTATTAAGTGGCCAACGGCATAATTTTAGCATTGTACCAAGAAAGAAATTTTATCCACTCAATAGCGTTCAACTACTATTGAAATTATAATGCATTTGGAAAGGAAGGGGGGGTATTAAGAGTTAGTACTTGCGAACCTTTCCAAACAAAGCCTTCCATACTGTACTATGCATAAAGGACAAAATTCCTAAAAGTCGTGTCTCCCTTCTGTTACCCTAAAACATCATAAAATTATTGCACAAAAATAAATCAAATTCTGTTAAAGAATAGTATGTGGCAACTAACATGTTATGGTATGAACTCTTGAAATTGGAACAGTTTATGGAGAGCAATGATATACAGTTCATAAGTTTCAGTTGCTGAGGAATATCAATAAAGAGTCATCATTTCATTCAACAAATGAAAATCACATATCAGTTCATAATGTTGATGAATAATTGATTAATTTCTAAAGCAAATCTCGGAATCCTTGTTTGAAGCTCCAACATGGCAGATTAATGCCTTAGTTTCAAAAGCAATTACACTGCAGTTATGTGAAACGCTAAAGAAAATGACACATTCAGTTATCAAGTAAGCCATAAAGGATGGGATATATTTTCTTCTTTCCACATGGAAAGAATTTATTATAATGTTTAATTTGATCGTTAATAACAGAAAGATACAGGACTTAAAAGCTACACCCCCAACACATCCGAACAAAATAAGGGAAAAGCGACATCTTTTACTGCATATTTTGAAAAGTACTTAATTTTGGAAAAGTAACAATAACAATCAACTTAAGAGTAACTCTAATACCAAAGATGCTTTCATGCGCACACTCCAGCTATTCAGAGCGTAAGAGTAGTTTATCCACATGTTACGCATGCTATATAATTCTTGTCATTTCTGACTTACAGTAACAGAAAATTGATTCAATAGTCGATAAACTCGTGTGGAAATAAAATAACCGACATGATAATAAAGCAAATAGGCACAAATATAAGTATAATCAAGATATCCATCCAATTAAAACACTATACTGCATATAAACATAACGGAAGTGACTCTAGGTTTGCAAGGAAGAAATTTTGACAAATCAATAGGAGTGCACTAGAATTCAGCTGCCCACCTTCTCCCGATGGCAAAGAAGTTCCAGAATCCGAGCCCCAACAGCATAGCCCGCATCCTCTAACCTGATCCAAGATCCAAAGAAATGCATCAAGTATTATACATCTAAGCCACATTTTAGAATAAATTGGTTGCGTAAAAAGCCAGTCAACTTAATTATTTAGAAATTTCAAGAAAAATCTCATTGTAAACTTTCAACAGCAATAACTTCTACCAAGATCATATTTGCCAAGAACATATTCTACAGTTTTATCACAGTTTCTATCTCTTTCTGACAACCAACATTCAAAGTTTCAAATCATATCAATATTGTGTATACACTAATCATCCTCTAGTACAATTTTTCAGCGAGAAGACACTGAATACTTCCATGTAGCTCCTTTCAGTGGGTTCTGGCCAAAAACTTTCTTTTCCATTCTAATACAGCAAACGACTTTATTTTGTGATTTTTAAACCTCAACTCATCAGATCATCAGGCATATCATGATCACTGAGAGACCTTCTCCAACTAAGTTCATTTCACCATGATGTAGACATTACAATGATTTAACCAATGTGGAATTCGGAAATTGTCAATCAAAAATCACCTTCTTTCCAATTCCGCTATGTTGTCCACCTGAGTCTGATTATACTGAACGAGCTCCGAGAACAAGAACGCAAACCCACTCAGACTAACCTGCAACAAAATACTTGAATCATCGTAATTATCAACACTATATATAACAGTTAAACCTTTGTCTACATACCTAAATAAAATGGTGAAACCTTACTTTTCAAAATTTTAATTTATACCCAGCGTCTGTTTTCAATGCAAAAATAAAAAATAAAAATGAAATGGGTGGATGGGTGGATGGATGACTTCGCTGATCAAACTTTAACCCTTCCAAGATTTCACTTTAAACCCAGCATTAAATCATGAAAACTAGTAAAAAGAAAAAGAAAAACTAATTGGATCTGAAGAATAAAGTACCTCTTGTTTGCCTTTGCTGAGGGGTCGATCAAGAACGTTAATGTACTGCTTCATTTTCCCAACTCCTGTCACTTGCTCGATCGATTTCTAGTTTTGATTACCAGTGCGAGTATTTTTGTAGATTCTGGTGTGTACGAAATAATATAGGCGAAATTGTATATTATAAAAGGAAAAAGACTTGTTTTGGGGGAAAAAAAAATGGAAACCATATAGAAACTTTGGATTGGTTAAGCCTCTAACTTGTAATTCACATGACTCTTGTGGGACAAATTTATCAAAGTTATTTATTTACCATATATAGTTTTTAAAAATTATTTTCTTACTAATAAATTTTAACTCTTAAAAATTTAATTATCTAAGTATCTTTTTGTTCCAATTTGAGATTGTGTTTTTTACATATATGGGAATTGTCAACTAATTTTTAGAACGTCATAAAAGGATTTTGTACAATTCGTCAATCTTACTTCTTTTTGTTAAATGCCTCCAAATTATTAATTAAATTTACTATTATTATTGCTTTTAAAGCAATTTTCTATCTAATGATCACTATTGTTACGCTTCGCCATCGAAACTCCACGTGGAGCCTACGTGGGATCCAACGTGGAGTGGCAACCCACACAAGACTTCTCTCCAAAGTAGCCAAGCCCTCTAACCTAAGTGGTGGTAATATGAAACAAAGCCAGATCCGCGGCCCCATCATGGAATAGGACGACCCATCTCTTTCGAAGATCACCTATTGATAAAATCCTATTTGAATTATTGATGCGACCCCTTTAATGAGAGATTATGCTATATGTACACAATCATTTACACATTGAATTACACTCCCCTCATATGGAGGGGGCCCACACACAATAAAATATTTGTGGACCCCCCTCAATGTGAGGGGGTGTAATCTCGTGTGTAAACCACCGGGTGTACATCTAACATGAGTGACATGACAGTCTTTTCAACATAAGTTGTAGGGTGGCTATCCCTCTTTTTAAGAGTATTAAATGTGTCACATGCTAATGAGGTCAAATTGATGTATAGGATATGGAGATGAAGCCACACATCTTCTTATCCAATGATACCATTTCACGTGTAACACTATAAATACTCATTTTTATCATTTGAAAGGGATGCAAATATATCTATTTAAAGCTATAAATCATTCCTCCGTTGAATTTTTATTGGTAGAGTTGTATGTCTGATTTTAGCTTCAGTTTATGTATTGTTGATTGTTTTTTATCATGCAATTCTACTCATATATGTTGCAATTGCCAAGACACTTTTTGTCGGCATTATAAAGCTTCTCCCCCGTCTAAACCCAAAACATTTTTGACTTGTAATCTGTCCAAATGTGGTAGCATTAACTTGTTTGGACTCAAGTGAGTCCGGTATCTGTTGTCCATGTCAATGGTACACATTTACATTTTTCTATATACTAGTCATCCGCCCGTGCAATGCACGGGCTGTGTTATTTTTATGGTAATATTAGCGTATTGAATTTTAAGGATTGATAGGCGATATTTTCGTTGAATGAGATGAACAAAGTAAACTCTATTTAACAAGGTAAATTTCCATGTGAGTTTACTAATAAAATACAGTTTTGAAGTATCTTAAGAGTACAAAGAAATTAAGAAAATGTTTTTTTGAGACCACTAATAAAAACATGATAGAAGCACTTACTATACTGATAGTTATTTAGTCAAACATAACTTCCACTGAAAGAAATATTCTGGCACAATCATCATTGACGAAAACTTCTCATTTATTGAAATCAATTTAATACCTATGTCCATTTTAACAACCATTAATCTATAAAAATCATAAAGCTCAAACAACCACCACCAAAACAAATATGCAATCAGACAATATCAAGTTTCGAATATTATGAAATATGACCTCCTCTGGGAATGGAGCTTTTGGCGAAGCATAATGGCCATGGAATCCCATTGATGTAGTCAAATCATAATAGTTCTTCCTAAACTCATATGAAACTCTCCCCAATACAACTTGCTCCAATTTTCGTACATCAACAACCAAATTATTTAAGGGGATATCTATATCAACCACATGAAGTGGGGATACCAGAGTCGTAAACCTTCTCAAAAACTGGGCTTGCTCCTTTCTTGGTACCAATAGTCTACTAACTAAAACCCAATAATGTTTACCACAATGCATAAGAGTAATTCTCATCTCATCCTCACTATATCATTAGTCACGCATAATAAATTTCCAACAAAACAATAAAATAAATTAAAAATAATATTACTGCATCAATATTGCTGATATAAATCATATATGTCAACTTACAACACTCTTCCAGAAAGTTTCCAAAAATATAGTTTTTCCATGCCAATTATTTATAGACCATGAAGTCATGAGTTGCGGCATCCAAGTCACTTTAGATGGCAGAGATTAAACCTCAAGATATAGACACGAAGTAATATTCTTGTACTATAAATTTTTCTAACAAAGTGAGTAGCACAAGAAATGCTTCTACATGTGAAATAAGGACAATCAAGTTACAAGGAAAAAAAAAAGAGAGAAATAATACATGTTTTATCCAACTTGCGTAGGTACTTAAACCTAAAATAGACATTCTTCCCGTATATGCAAAGACAACAGATTGAAATGAAAACCTTCACCAAGGAAGCATGTCTATATAAACCTTTTATGTGTAAAGGTACATGATATTTATGGCAAATAAAACCTTACATGATTCTTAGCCTGTGGATCACCAGGCTCGACAAAGTTACTAACAAACTGTGCCATACCTGTCACGCAAAAATAAATCCTATAAATATATGTTAAGTTCACATATTCTAACTTAGCGAAAACTTTAGCAAGCTTAAAGTAATAATAGATCCATATATGGGAGCATTTTCTTTTATCTTTTACGGATTTATATTCCAAAGGGGGTTGGGGATCAAATAGTTTCAGAAGATTTAGCGTCAATCCAGTAGAAAGTGAATTCCCTCTCATTGAGTTCATATTGTAATGCTATCAAAGTGAGTAGATTCCCAAAGAGTGTAATATAGCTAGCATAACGTCGATGGCACAAAGCTATGATCAAAACTCAAAAAATAAAATAGAGCCTAAAATAAGGAAGCTAAAATTATATATAAGATAACTTTAACTTTCTTTCACAAAATCAAAGGTGGGTTAATTTTCTTAGTAGCACAGTCAAGGCATCGGGAATTGTCAGCGTGAAAGCAATCAAGTGTAAACCATCATATACTAAACTTTGCTCCAATCATATGAATCAACAAGAATGCATACATGGTGAATTACTCAATGCACAAAGTCAGTTGTGTCAGGGACATGAAACTTTATGAACTTCAATAATCAAGCATAAACCATTATGTGTTGAACTTTGCACCAATCTTTATAGATGCTACATAAATATATAAACTTGAATAATGATATATAAATAGCTTTAGAAAAAAAAATTATCACATAAAGACATGTTTGCTTGGGTGAACACCAAAAACTTAAACACAGACAAGGTCCAAGAATCATTACTTAGTTCTTGTCAAATTTCATACTGGCATGGGAAGTCATGGCATCTACAATTCGAGTAACAAACATCAAACTTTACCTAAAATTCAGTGATCAAGCTGTCAAACAAGTCAGGCAACCTAACCCAACCCGACAGTTTCAATTTTTGTTTGATATGTTTTCCATAAAAGTAACAATGAAAAGGGAAAGGCCCAGGCCTTTCTTATACCTCTTATTTTTAAAAGGGCTCTTGGTGTGAGTCTAGCCGATTCACCGGCCATTAATTCTAACTCTGCCCTTTACTCACACGGGTGATACCTTTGTAGCTTAGCATTCTGCTTTACCGAACCCGAACTCGACTGCTCTTTCGCCATCGTTCTTATTCCTTTTCTATTTCTGAACCTTCCATCGCACTTTCTTTCAATTAAATTATCTGTTAACTTTCTATATTTATTTGTGCAGAACATATAATAACACAAATAGATTCAGAATTTTACAGTTTCAAAAAAAAAAATCTCCTTATTTCTGTCGTGTCATCAACAGACAAATAAAACATAAATTCTAGCTCCAATCGAAAAACAGAAATTTATGTACAATTAGTTTAGTAGTTAATTGGAAGACATAATCACCCTGGCATTTTTCGCAACTTCGATGAGCTCTGATTGAAAAGGCAAAGAAGACAAACATCAACAACCCTCATTTTTCAACAACATCAGTTAAGAATAGTTCCTGGTTTCCATGATGAAAGAATTTGACTCGTCCCCCTGACGGGACCCTTCACAAATCACAATACCACGATTGCTTTGATTTTGAGAATCATCTACCTCATTCTGCCAATTATTTTCAAATGTAAATTTATGTTCTCCTGTTGAAGCAAAGGAACTGCATATATAGTTTCATAATACACAGTCTTGAAGAATCTGTCACAAGTATAGTTTAATAACTTCATGCTTTCAAAGCTTGTAGCAACTATTTATGAGTCTAAGTTGTTTCGAGCTACAATCATAAAAGTTTGAAATCTTGAAAATCCTACACCCATATACATAGAGGATGCTTGAGAATTGTGATAATTCTCAAAAGCAAAAGTAATATCTTAAATTTTAAAAAACATAAAAATTAATTTGAACTTTTAACCTCGCACATAACCCAAAGAGGTATATGAATTGTCTAGGCATAAAATTTGGTGGAGTTTTCTTCGCTGGTCAATATTCAATATTCTCCCAGACCAACTATAATGCAGGTGTGATGATGATTAAAAACAAGAAAGAAAATGATAGAAATTGTGAACAGAAACTGAAATCGAAGAAAATGATGGTATTAAAAACAAGAAAGAAAATGATAGATTCAATATGATGATTTCATGTTGAAGATTGGAATAGAATCCAATGAAATACAATTCATACAAAGTGCTCTATTTATAGACTAAAAGACTAACAAACTTACAAATTATCTAACTATAGAAGTCTTTAGAATGAGCTGAGCTGTATATTCTAATAGTATCCATTCCATCTGAAAAAAGAAACACAGAGAATAAGTTGAAATCCATATCCAATGGAAAGAAAAAGACAACTCGAACACAAGAAAGAACTAAAATTTTAAATTATATATAAACGTCAAAAAATACCAAATAAACTACCACCAATGCCTAATTCTCTTTATAGCAATTCCTTTGTCCATTTCTCTTCTAAGGGATTGGGACTCTTCAACACTTTTTGCATATGCCTGAAATCCCATTCGAAACTTTAAATTCACTCTAAGAGTCTCAAAGATTCATGATAAAGAGTTTCATATTGACAAGGTCACAACTCCTGTCTTTCGCATGCTGAAAGGGAAAAGTAAGCATAAATTCTTTAAAAATGGGAAAATGAACTTCATGAAGCCATTCATGGTTGAGAGTTGTTTCAGCAGTAATCCACTGCACTGTTCTGCTGATGAGAATATATTTTCTTGGCAATGGAAACCACATAATCCACATCCTGCAAGGATAAAGGGAAAAGATAATGCAGTTTATTATGAGAATAAGTTGTCTAGTTGTTCCATTTCACAGATTTTCAAATACATAGCCATTGCGAAAGAAAGTTGCATGAAGGTCACATGGGAACTCGTACAGATTAAGTTCACATACATGACCAACACTGTGGTTTGAGAAATAGATTTTTGGTTTCGAGGGCAATTTATAATGTGAGGTATGATTGACCAACCATTTCAAGACAGGCAAGTAGCTGTAGAGCCCTCAGTTGACACAGTAATATGATAGCTTCTTCAAGTATATTATAGTTAGAAACTATTTTGATGTAAAATTCAAGTTGCAGTTGTATAAGAATGGAAGACGAAGACCTTATGCATTATATTGGTCATGCTCCATTGTTGAGTTAAGTATTAACAGTGATAATCACAAAGAGTGGTGTATATTTGAAAAAATAAATTTCATAAAAGAGCAATAAATTCGTGTTTAAGACAAATTTTCTTTATCAAGTCTCTTTAGGCATCATCAATAGTATAAATCAGATTGATATCATTTCCTTTGCCCCATATACAGCCTGGATCCTTCCTACTTGTTCAAATGCTTGGTTAAAATTTTACAGTACAGATCAACCACATGATCAAGAGGAAGTCTGAGTTGCAAATGAAACCATAATTGGCAACAATTGCAAAATTTAAACACTAAATGTACCATAAATAATTGAATCAGCAAGAAAACTGAAACCAAACATATCTCAAGGTGATAATAAAAAATTTGATTATTTGTTTTCTGTTAAATGATATTTGTTGCTTCATTATACTTATCTTTAATTTCATCTATATCTTTACTAACTTATACAGTACAATTTACAATTTAACATAAATACCAAAAAAATAAAAATCATAAGGCACTACAAACTTGCATGTCAAAATTCAATAAAATTCATCCCGAACTACCACCGCATGCATGTTTAACGGAATTAAATGCTGTGACAATGTTTACAGAAACAAGAACAACATGAGTAGATTCCCAAAGAGTGTAATCAAAGCTAGCATAATGTCGACGACACAAAGCTATGATCAAAACTCAAAAAATAAAATAGAGCCTAAAATAAGGAAGCTAAAATTATATATAAGATAACTTTAACTTTCTTTCACAAATGTGGGTTAATTTTCTTAGTAGTCAAGGCATCAGCAATTGTCAACGTGAAACTTACCTGAAGGTCAGCGATCAAGTGTAAACCATCATATGCTCAATAGAAAGTGAATTCCCTCTCATTGAATTCATATTGTAATGCTATCAAGGTGAGTAGATTCCCAAGGAGTGTAATTAAAGCTAGCATAACGTCGACGGCACAAAGCTATGATCAAAACTCAAAAAATAAAATAGAGCCTAAAATAAGGAAGCTAAAATTATATATAAGATAACTTTAACTTTCTTTCACAAAATGTGGGTTAATTTTCTTAGTAGTCAAGGCATCAGCAATTGTCAACGTGAAACTTACCTGAAGGTCAGCGATCAAGTGTAAACGATCATATGCTCAAACTTTGCTCCGATCATATGAATCAACAAGAGTGCATACATGGTGAATTACTCTATGCACAAAGGCAGTTGTGTCAACGACATGAAACTTTATGAACTTCAATAATCAAGCGTAAACCATTGTGTGTTGAACTTTGCACCAATCTTATAAATGCTACATAAATATATATAAACTTGAATAATGATATATAAATAGCTTTAGAAAGAAAAAATTATCACATAAAGACATGTTTGCTTGGGTGAACACCAAAAACTTAAACACGGACAAGGTCCAAGAATCATTACTTAGTTCTTGTCAAATTTCATACTGGCGTGGGAAGTCATGGCATCTACAATTCGAGTAACAAACATCAAACTTTACCTAAAATTCAGTGATCAAGCTGTCAAACAAGTTAGCCAACTCAACCCAACCCGACAATTTCAATTTTTGTTTGATATGTTTTCCATAAAAGTAACAATGAAAAGGGAAAGGCCCAGGCCTTTCTTATACATCTTATTTTTAAAAGGCTCTTGGTGTGGGTCTAGCCGATTCACTGACCATTAATTCTGACTCTGGCCTTTACTCACACGGGTGATACCTTTGTAGCTTAGCATTCTGCTTTACTGAACCCGAACTCGACTGCTCTTTCGCCATCGTTCTTATTCCTTTTCCATTTCTGAACCTTCCATCGCACTTTCTTTCAATTAAATTATATGTTAACTTTCTATATTTATTCGTGCAGAACATATAATAACACAAATAGATTCAGAATTTTACCGTTTCAAAAAAAAATCTCGTTATTTCTGCCGTGTCATCAACAGACAAATAAAACATAAATTCTATCTCCAATTGAAAAGCAGAAATTTATGTACAATTAGTTTAGTAGTTAATTGGAAGACATAATCACCCTGGCATTTTTCGCAACTTCGATGAGCTCTGATTGAAAAGGCAAAGAAGACAAACATCAACCCTTATTTTTCAACAACATCAATTACGAATAGCTCCTGGTTTCCATGATAAAGGAATTTGACTCGTCCCCCTGACGGGAACCCTCACAAATCACAATACCACGATTGCTTGGATTTCGAGAATCATCTACCTCATTCTGCCAATTATTTTTAAATGTCAATTTATGTTCTCCTGTTGAAGCAAAGGAACCACACATATAGTTTCATAATACACAGTCTTGAAGAATCTGTCACAAGTATGGTTTAATAACTTCATGCTTTCAAAGCTTGTAGCAAATATTTATGAATCTAAGTTGTTTCGAGCTACAATCATAAAAGTTTGAAATCTTGAAAATCCTACACCCATATACATAGAGGATGCTTGAGAATTATGATAATTCTCAAAAGCAAAAGTAATATCTTAAATTTAAAAAAAAAAAAAAATTTAATTTGTGCTTTTAACCTCGCACATAACCCAAAGAGGGAGATGAACTGTCTAGGCATAAACTTTGGTGGAGTTTTCTTCGCCAGTCAATATTCAATATTCCCCTAGACCAACTATAATGCAGTAACAACAAGAAAGAAAATAATAGAAATTGTGAACAGAAACCGAAATTGAAGAAAATGATGATATTAAAAACAAGAAAGAAAGTAATAGATTCAACATGACGATTTCATATTGAATATTGGAATAGAATCCAATGAAATACAATGTATATAAAGTGCTCTATTTATAAATTAAAAGACTAACAAACTAACAAATTATCTAACTTTAGAATGAGCTGAGCTAAATATTCTAACAATATCCATTCCATCTGAAAAAGAAACATAGAAAATAATTTGAAATCCATATCCAATGGAAAGAAAAAGACAAGTCGAACGCAGAAAAGACCTAAAATTTTAAATTATATATAAACATCAAAAAATACCAAAAAAACCACCACCAATGCCCAATTCTCTTTAAAGCAATTCCTTTGTCCATTTCTCTTCTAAGGGATTGGGACTCTTAAAACACTTTTTGCATATGCCTGAAATCCCATTTGAAACTTTAAATTCACTCTAAGAGTCTAAAAGATTCATGATAAAGAATTTCATATTGACCCTGTTTTTCGTGTGCTGAGCGGGAAAAGTAAGCATAAATTCTTTAAAATTGGGAAAATGAACTTCATGAAGCCATTCATGGTTGAGAGCCGTTTCAGCATTAATCCACTGCACCGTTCTGCTGATGAGAATATATTTTCTTGGCAATGGAAGCCTCATAATCCACATCCTGCAAGGATAAAGGGAAAAGATAATGCAGTTTATTATGAGAATAAGTTGTCTAGTTGTTCCATTTCACAAAATTTCAAATGCGTAGCCATTGCAAAAGAAAGATGCATGAAGGTCACATGTGAACATACATGACCAACACTATGGTTCGAAAAATAGATTTTTGGTTTCGAGGGCAATTTATAATGTGAGGTATGATTGACCAACCATTTCAAGACAGGCAAGTAGCCATAGAGCCCTCAATTGACACAGTAATATGATAGCTTCTTCAAGTATGTTATTGGTAGAAACTATTTTGATGTAAAATTCAAGTTGCAGTTGTATAAGAATGGAAGACAAAGACCTTATGCATTATATTGGTCATGCTCCATTGTTGAGTTAAGTATTAACACCGATAATCACGAAGGATGGTGTATATTTGAAAAAATAAATTTTCATAAAAGAGCAATAAATTCATGTTTAAGACAAATTTTCTTTTTCAAGTCTCTTTAGGCATCATCAATAGTAAAAATCAGATTGATATCATTTCTTTTACCCAATATACAAGGATCCTTCCTGCTTGGTTAAAATTTTACAATACAGATCAACCACATGATCATGAGGAAGTGTGAGTTGCAAATGAAACCATAATTGGTATCAATTGCAAAATTTAAACACTAATGTACCATAAATAATTGAATCAGCAAGAAAACTGAAACCAAACATATCTCAAGGTGATAATAAAAAATTTGATTATTTGTTTTCTTTTAAATGATATTTGTTGCTTCATTATACTTATCTTTAATTTCATCTATATCTTTACTAACTTACACAGTTCAATTTACAATTTAACAGTACAATTTACAATTTAACAGTAAATACCAAAAAACAAAAATCATAAGGCACTACAAACTTGCATGTCAAAATTCAATAAAATTCATCCGAACTACCACCGAATGCATGTTTAACGGAATTAAATACCGTGACAATGTTTACAGAAACAAGAACAACAAACTTTATATCGAGATTTTAAAATCTGCAAAGATTATTAGTAAAACAATATAGTAATACACTTTACCTAGAACAAAACTTATGACATCAAATGAAAAAAATTCTCTGAGTAGGCTAACCTGCATGTAAATTGGAATTTAAGAAAATGTTCCTACAAATTCTTGACATAAAATTGCCATGTTTTGAACAATATAATGTCTCCAGCAACAAGCAAAGAGCCTCATCGAAGATGACATACTGAAGTCTGTGTGTGACTATCAACCAATACCAAGTCGCACAATGACAATGCTCATGTGGTAATTACCTGTCAGATAAGTAAATACAGGATATTATGTTGCATATGGTACCTTGTCTCACTTCCGTACTTGTTATCTCCATTGGTCTCGTTAGCTTTAGCCTTCCTCTCCAAACATTCATTAATGTCTGCAATATCCTCTAAACCAGCTCTCCTTACACATTCCGAAACTCCAGTTGAAGGAATAGGAACTTCCTAAACACAGGCTATAATTTATTACAGGAATGGTAGGTTTTAATCCATCATGAATCGAAAATTAAATTTACAAAAGCACATTGACATGCCTTGGCAACAACTTGGACAAGATCTTCGGACCGAACTATAAGCGTTTCTATCATACTATCATTTGCAACATCTGCAGCTCGGTTCGGTTTCCCTTTTTAATCATCCTCATGTTCTTCAGCGAAATAGTTGGATCAAACATACATAAATCATAAGAAGTATCAAGACAATAACTCTAATCACATCATTGAGCCTGATAAGTAAGCATTAGTATAAATTCTAAAGGTACTTAATTTACACTTTATCTAATGTACACAAACAGGAATTGCCTTGAGCTTTGTTCTTCAGCAGAATAAGATTAATAGAATCCAAAACTCAAAATCTTGACTTTTAATTTAATCAGCAAAATATGATAAATAAGTTAAATGTGTGGTAAAAAATAAAGAACATATGGCAAAATTGGACTATAAATCATCACAAAACAGGCAAGAGCACTATCAGTTCCCAATATAACCGAATCCCATAAAGGAAGATAGGTAATAAACAAAATGCAGAAGGAATCTTGGAAAATTTCAAGAGTACTATAATCATTGTTGACACGAGCGGTATAAAAAATTCCAATAACAACAGAGCCATCTTGTGTATGAATATCAACTGGGAGCTCAATTCCATAAACCCTAACCCTTTGATCAAGAACCCTAATCAATCATTCAAACTTTTCAATAATATCAGAAATGACCATCCCATATCCAATGCCTTCATCACTGTCAAAGGTCTATTCATATTCAGCGGAGTCACAAAAATTCCCCCACCTTCCTCGTGAATTTGAAAGCAGCATCTCCTTGGCTTTCTCAAGGTTGACCAGCATGTTCGATCCCTCCAGCCCCTTCTCCACCACTTTCGACCCGTAGATTCCACCTCCATCCCATATTTAAACCACCGCAAGGTCCAAGGAAAACTGTGGAACATTTTTAAGAAAAGGAAAGCAGAGAACGTGTGTGAAGAGAGAGGGAGCAAAAGGCACTTTATTGGAAGAAAACGTATACTGTAGACGAACCAGGTTGATGAATAGCAGTGTGAAAACGAGGGAACGAAATGAATAGTGAAAAGGGGATCTCTCTTTTAAAGGAAAGGTGATATGTGAGTTTGATTCACAATAAGGTATATTCTTTAACCTTAGCCAAATCCCCTCTTCTGTCTCTTGCACTTATTTTTCTTTTCGTCTGGCCATTAACTTAATCATTGGAGTGCAAACGATTGTTGGAACATATTCTCTATCGACGACATTTGCCTTCTAATGGAATGTTTAGTTTGCACGTAATACCCACGTGGAGGGGGACGTGGCGAAAATTCTATGACACATTTTTTGAGGTCAATAAAAAAGCCATATACTTTTTTTTCCCAAAGTCTTCTACAATGACAACAATATTATATTAATTTTACTGGTATGAAAATGAGAAACCATAGAACTTTGGACTGATGGCTTCCAACATTTACCTCTGGAAGCCATTAGTCCAAAGTTTAAGAAAAAATTGTTTAGATCGATGAGGTGGTTGAAGTGGCGTGATCTCTGAGGATGTCGGTATATGTCCTCGATGACGCCCCAATCAGTTTTGGGACAGATCAAAGCGGTTTCCTAAAACTGCAAAGGGAATATCATTAGTTACAGTCATTACAGAAACAATTATTACTTGAAAAAACTAACTCGCAAGCTTCAAAATACTGGGTCGCATAGTAGCAGCTCGAACCTTATTTCCCTCAACGATCTGCCATCTACTCATTACCCAGAACTATGACTTCTTCCACCTTTTGATGGAGGAAGGCAAACCCACTACAAATAGGTCATGGGCTACCCAAGGAGTCATGTAGTACAACACTTTCAATCCTCCTTCCAAAGTATGTTGGGGTGGAAAACTATTTAGAAGACGTATAGATACATGTTCTGGCCAAGTGAGGTCTCCTTCCAAAGGAAATATGCCCTTACAAACTAGCTCCACCCATTTGGCAAAAGCTGGGTCGGAGCCAACATGTAGGCCCTCAACACTGCTCTAAAAAAAATGGTGTAAAGGCAGACGCATACTTGCCTCAGACAACATGCACGTTCGTAGGCTTTGGGAGTTACAAGTTCTATGGAATCTAGGATCCTAGGATCCCATATTTCTCCTTAATCTCAATCAACTTCTCAGGGGTCACAGCAGATAGGATTTTTGCAGCTCCACATCTCACCTCATAATGAATGGGCCCTTCGCAAATGGCCGACAAACCTCATTCCGACCCATCAGGTAATGCTAGGTAACGCCTGTTCCCCAACTCTTCCAAGCTTACTCTACCACTACTAGCACTCAAACCAGAAGCCATCAAAATGAAAAATCTCATGAAAAAATTAATAGAAAACTATCGAGGAGAATGAGATTACCTAAATGAAGAAAAAGCTCTAAGAACATAAGATTGTCGGAAAACAAGAAATGGCCGGAGGATTTTAAAGAGCAAAAAAGATTTAGGAATTTCTCAAAGGTAAAAAACCACAAAAATGGCAAAATTAATAGGCAAAGGCAATGAAGCGCAGCCATCGGATTTAGATCCAGTTAATTCAAAGCGTCCATTTCCAATTTAATCTTAGGCGTTGAATTCAAATGTTTTTTTATCATCTACGCTTCGAATTAATGCATGTTTCTTACGCACGTGCTTTAGCGCGTCAGCCTCCAAACGTGGCAGCATGGCCATCGGTACGCATTCTATATAAGGGTTGGTACGTGTATTGGAAGTCGAACTGCTTCAGTTATCTTTTCTTGGTAACATCAAAACGTCAAATCATTGGCACGATTATCAGCGCACTTTGTTTCCAATTTAAACATGGAGTTTCAGCAGTTTAGCACTTTGATGCTTTGACTCACAAATCAAATTTTAACTACTTTCAATTTAAATAATGAGCTTCAGCAGTTCATGTAAACAGGATAGCTTACGAGGTCAGGTTGCTATTTTAAATTCCAATTATGATATTAATATCTACACTTGGATTTAGGAAACTATGACATTGTGTTGCGTAAAAAACCTAACAATTGTAGAAAAATGTTTGTCCCAACAAAGAAACATTATGCAAAACAGAAGTCCATGCATAACATGAATAATCATATATGGTCTTGGGAGGACTTTACACCTCACCACCAAAACACCACATAGAGCCTATGTGGCATCCCGCGTGGAGTGGCGTCCTATAAAAGGCTCATTTTCGAAGTATCGAACACCCCTCTAGCCGAAGTGGTGGTAATATGAAACGAAGCCAAATTCGAGGCCTTACCATGGAATAGGATGACCCATCTCATTTGAAGATCTCATATTGGTAAAATCATATTCTAATGATCGATGCGACCCAAGTGACATGTCAGTCTTGTATGTATAGGTTGTAGGGTGGTTGTCTCCATTTTTAAGTCAGAATCTACATAGTCTTTTAACTATATCTTATCACTTCCCTTTTTAAATACTAACCCACTTTTTAAAGTTCTAGTTAGGTATCTTAACAGCCATTTAAGTGCAGTCTAATGAGACTTACTTGGGTTAGGCGTAAACCTATTCAAGAAACTAACTGCATATGCAAAGTTTGGTCTCGTGGTAATCATAGAATACATTACAAACCTAATAACATTAGCATATGAAACATTACTCATTTCATGCAATTCTTTTTCAGTTTTAGATCATTGTGCAGATGAAAAATTCATGTGTGCAGCTAATGGTATATTGACAGATTTAGCAAATTTCATACCAAAATTGGTTATCACTTTATCCAATAAGATTCTTGATTAATAGTCATCCCATTATCAGCCATATTTTTTTAAATAACCATGCCAATAATTTTCTTGCATTATTTTGATATTAAAAGATTTTTCATCTTTATGATTTCACTTTTACTAGAGCTAGCAAACAACATGTCATCCATATATAACAATAAATAAACTTCACAACCTACTTTATAGTTATTAAAATGTAGACATGCATCCACTCCTCTTAAAACCAATTTTAAGCATATAAGTATCAAATCTTTTATACCATTACCTAGGTTTGCTTAAGACCATACAAGAGCTTTCTAAACAAACACACAATTATCGATTTTTCCCTCGCCACGAACCCTTGAGGTTGAGACATGTAAATCAATTCATCCAACTTCCCATGAAGAAAAGACGTCTTAAAATCTAGTTGTTCCAACTCTCAATCATACAGACAACTAAGGCTCAGATTAACCTGATAGTTTTATACTTAATGATCAGTGAGAGCACTTTATTATAGTCTATCCCCCCTCTTTGAATCCCTTCACAACTAACCTAACTTTATATGTTAAAGGGTCTTTAGGTCATACATACAGCTTCAACCTAGAAACCTTTCGACAATCCTAAACTAATCATTATGCATCTAACTCTATCCATTAAAGTTCGATTCGTCCTCTCCGCCACCCCATTTTGCTGGGGGTATGTCTCAGTCATGTGCCTCATTATACCCATAACCTTTTTTCCTCTAGAGTGCCTAAGGAAATAAGACTCATTGTCAGGCCTGGGACATACCAACACCTCTAAAGGGTATACGGGTCATCCCCCAAGTATACTTTCCTAGTATTCACATATCTGTAGTTATCGAACCAAGACTTAACATGACACATATAAACAGTGGCATCTGAGTCTAAAATCCAATAAGTGTCAAAATTAATATTAGAAACATTCATGACATGTATGTTATCACGGGCATGATCTACATCAGTGTCAGAATCTCCTGACCCAGTCATAACATGTAGACAATCAAGGGAATTGCCTACATCGACTAAGTTCTGATCATCACTTTGCTGCGGTTTCTGTTTCTTCTTAAGTTCATTGCACTTTCTCTTGAAATGCCATAACTTACCACAATGAAAGCATTTCTTTCCATTCATATCTCTAGACTTGGACCTATCCTTCGATTTCTCTCTGGCTTTCTTACTTTGAAAGTAGTTCTCCATCGTCTCATTCCTCTCTATCACAAACAAACTCTCTTCTCTCGAGCTACTCTTTGACTTTTTCTTAAGCTCTATCTCCTTAGCCCTCAAAACATCAGTCACAATATCTTGGGTCAAATTTCTTATCATTGTGGGCCAAACACTTGACGAATCTGTTAAAGTCACCCAAATTGAATTCAAGATCCTTTTCTCGGGTCCAGCTTAAAACTGAAAAGTAAAACTTCGTTTACATAAAACAAACCTTTAGATTTTTTCAAAAATATCTTCTCAAGTGCTTCCCACAACTCTTGGCGGTCTTATGTTGTTCAACTTATCCTAACACGTCATCAGTAAAATGCAATATAATCAAACTATATGAAATTTCATTCATTTCATCCGATTTAGCTTTTAGCGCATCAGGATATTTTTGAAGTCGTCAAAAGTTTTAGAAACTTTTTGTTGGATTAAAATGACTTTCATTTTTTGCTTCCAAATGAAATAATCTCCCTCACCATTGAATTCCGCCAATTCAACTCGAGAGGTCATGATAGCAAAATAATGTTTTTCCAAAAGTTTTACTTAACCAATTTACTTACACACAAATGCAAACTCAAACCAACTTATGTATAAATTACTTTCAAAGATGACATAAGCGATGATATCATAACAAGTAACACGTAGATAAAAATCACAATAGTCGAACAACAATATGATAGCAAATAATATAATATCTCAATTGTAAATTCGAGAGGGTATTAGAATGCACAAACCGAGCGAACCAACATGTTGGTTCGTATTTTAAAGAGAGATGCGAATCTTTATTGATTTAGGGCCTCTACTAACTACCCTAAGTTATCTAACAGTTACTGCAACCCCAAGAAGCACCACCGAGCTACCATCGAAAAAGCTTTATCTACTTTACCTTTTTGCCCGAGGCTATATCTGCTTCCATAATGCACCAAATTGAAATCCAACACCACCATGAGGTTAGAAATTTCTCAAGGAACAAACTGTCATTTTCACCTCCGCCCAATTTGTTGTCATGTGTCCCCATGTGCAGCATTTGTTCTCTACGCGTGTCCTCACACGCCGTCTCCATCATCGGTGCGTGTGACTCATGCACAGTACGGAAGCTTCTACTTTTTGTATGGAGTCTGGCGGTGGTCTCCGTTTGTCCACGAGTGCGTGGTTTTGCCGAAAACCCTTTCGACTTCCAATCCGATTTTTAGGTTGTTTTAACACTTTACACCACTAACCTAATCTCTGATACCATTTTTAGAATTTAAAAATGTAGTGAACAAATTATTATTACAACTATAATGCGGAAACATAAACTCTCAAAGTATAAAACCGAACCAATAGACACAAAGCTTTTTCAACACCACTAATGGAGTGTCTATGACATTGAGCTCATATTTTTACCACATCGGATCATGCACCGTCATCCACGAAAATGGTAATGAATATACCGTGAAATGAATATGCCGAAATTCCAAATGAAACAAGGAGTCTTGTAATTATAGATCCAATGAACCATTTGAATTCAAATTCAAATATTGTACTATGAAAGAGACATAACTAGTAGGATAATTGACCACAAGATTAAATTCAGCCATTGAATTTAATCTATGATCCATAATACACATCAACTAGAGCAATCATTTCAAATTGTTCAAGACGAATACTCAATTGTTGTGGATTTAAGTGATCCACCTCACAATCTGCCTGAAAAGTATGAAGGTAAAAGATGCACCATCTATAATAGAGTAACGTTGTGTGCCTACGGGTACCACTTCAATACAAAAAAGCAGGCTACCTCAGGTCTAACGACATCAACAGAGGTATAAAAAAAAAGGTAATAATAGACCTTAGACGTGTGAAAAAATTAGCCAAAGTTTGAACATTTGTGTTGGACGCTTTACCAGTGAATACCACAAATAAATACAAGTACACTTATGCAATATTTCACAATCTAGACAAAAATTTCCATCTTTTCGCCTTTACACATCCAACTTATGTTGACTTGATAATCAAATTGGATACAAACGATGTACCAATCCTCGTAATGATGACACGAGAATGTTCGCTTTTTTTTAAAAAGAGAGATAGTTACTTTTAGGAAAATTTTGAGTTCAACAATAATTATATAGATGCAATCTTGTAAAAACATTCCATGTTCTTCAAATGTACCATGCAAAGCTCAATTCCATTGAGTGCCCCACCAATGCAATGAGCTCAAGAAAGTTATCGAGCTTGTGATCAATCAATTAAGAGGATCTAGCCATGTTCGATAATCATTTTTTCAAAACATTTTTTTTTCATACTCGTTTTTTACAAGTGTGTTTTATACACTTGTTCGGAGTCTAAAATAACGATATTTGATATTTTTCTGACAAAATATATTATAAATTATTGTATTTTATGTTATATAGGTAAAACTCAATGGTTGAACGAAGAATCGAAAGAAAGAAGTAAAAAATGGTGAAAATGGAAAATTTCAAAGCTTGAGGATCAAATTGTAATTATTCAATAGTTAATTCGGACACAAGAAAATACTTTGAAGATTTTTTGGAGATAATTGGATGGAATTAGAACTCAAAAGGAATGGAATATGATCAAAATCAATTTTCAATTGCACAAGTTATATTCCAGATTTTTATCCAAACTTTGAGATCCATTTTTTACATAGTAAATGTCCGAATTGGAAAATTTATATTATAAAAGTTGTAACCCTTTGAGCTAGTTTTCCAACGCATTTTGAATCGCCTCAATCAGATATTGAGAGATAAAGTTATGATGAAGATACTGACTACTGTGCAGAGACAAAAAAATTTGCGCGCGAATGAAACTTTCCTTATTTGATTGGAACTTTCTTAGAAACCAATTTGGACGTGATTTTCAATCAATTTTCGACTATTACAAATACATAACAGCAGAATACATATGGGGGACCTCTCATATACGTCTCATACTCCAATATTTATCAATTATTGTCATCAAATGAGGAGAATTCATAGTTTTTGTAAGATGATTGTAGGAGATTTGTAAGAATTCAATCAATTGAAAATCTAAACCTGATTTTTGGGCAAATAAGAAAAGATGCAAGTGGAGATTCATCAAGAAACCATTAAAGAGATTCAAGATTTCAAGATTCATTTTCATCTTTTCAATTTATCAAAAATTCGGGTGATATCTTTTCACTTAAATATGATTTCTTACAATTTCAATATGTTAGGCTGATTTAATATGTTGCTAGGATGAGATGAACCCTTATTAAGATATTTTTAGTTTTTAATTAATTATTTTGACTTTAATTTGATTTGATTTATGGATGATTATTATCGTTTATTATCGTTCTTTTTAATTGTTTGACCACCAATTGAATTGTTAGTGAATTTTATTGTTATCGAGAGAGACAATAGGGTTTAAGCACATTATAATAAAAAATTTAAGGTTCGATAGAGGATAGAAATATGCCTAGAGTCACATGAGAGGAATATATTTTATTATTATCGAGAGATGCTTTCAATTAAATTAGGAATATTGACCAACACGAATGATTTCAAATTGTCACTTTAATTGTTACACTAAAAATGGAATAATAAGGGAGATTCGACATCTTAACAATGCATCTCACATATTTGAAAAATACATTTACTTATTTTCATTAGTTTAATTGATAATTCAAAAATTAATATACAAAAATCACAATATTTGTTTACTATTCAATTAAAGTTACAATTAATTTTAATTGGATCAAACACGTAGTTCTCGTGGGTTCGACACTCTATTCATCATTATATTACTTGACCACGATCTCGTACACTTGCGGTTTTCAAAGGACCAATTTTCAACTACACATTTTTATAATAAAGGATTTTTCATGTAAACCTAAAAATTCTTTCATTTTTTAACTATACATTCTCCAAAATTTTACTATTCAAAAACTCATTCTTTTGAAAGAATGACTATTAAACAAGGGTTGAATTATACATTTGGTAGGCCACGGCTTGAAGAGTGACTCTCCTTAGTTCAAATTGAGAAAAAAAAATATCAAGTAAAAAGAAAAGAAACTCAGTTAGTATAATCTTTTTCCTTTTTTCAACTCAGTTATTATAATATTTTTCCTTTTTTCAAGTCATCTATCTGTATATCATTATGTACAAATAATATTATTCAAAAATATAAAAGCACATCACGTACATACTTTATGCAATCATGTTACATGTGCATTATGAATGATATTCTTTCATGTGATAACAATCTACACTATTGATTTTAAACAAATTCATCCTATCACTAACCAAATTTCTTGTCAAACTCGTTAGCAAGTTAGAATGCATATTTATGAGCCTTACTAATATGAGCTTACCTATGTGCAGGTCCTCTCACAGAAATGGGCCATGATTTTTTTTAGAACAATGTTGGTTGTACACCCTACTTTATATCATGGTGTACAACCTCTCACATGTGAAGGGGCCAACAATGAATCAAAAAATTGTGGGAAAATTCTATGTGTACATAATGATGTCCATAATGTGATGTGGACAAAATTCTGTTGTTGATGTGAAAGTGAAATTTGAATTAAAAGTTGAATCCAGCATTACGTATAATTATGAACACCATTATGTGTAACATTATGTACTTGTAGTACTTCTCAAAATTGTGAACCCCCTCCATGTAAAGGGGTGAGAGGGGGCTGTACACACATGTAGCAGATTTCTTTTTTTTTTTTTTTCTGTTAATTTGGGTTGTGAGGGGGGCTGTACACCCAGCAAAACCCAACATACGTACATACACATAATATCTACGTATAATTTTTGCCATCCCCATTTCCTAGCACCCCTACATCAGAAACCCCTAAACGCTCTCATCTGCGCAAACGCACACATGGAAGATGATGACTTCGGAGATCTCTACACGGACGTGCTAACGACGACGTTTCAAGCCTCCCAGCCACAAATTGATGCGTCGGCAGCCGGAATCAATTCGACGTCGTTTCAGGGTCGCTCGATTGATCCGAGGGTCAATAGTGATGATGAAGAGATTCTGTACGGAGCTCAGAATTCTAAGAATTTGAATTCCCAATCTTCCGATGGTTCGAATTTGAATGGCGTAATTGTAGAAAAAGCCCTACCCAAACCGAGAGGACTCGATTTGAATTTGGGTTCGAATCAAGGGAAAAAGGGGATTCCAGTTTTACTTGGGAACGAGGGTGGCGAGTTGAAGTTTGAAACTAGGGTTTCGGATACTTCCGCCGGCTCGAATTTTGCCGTGGTGGAGGATGATATTAATATCGTAGTGGAAGAGGGGGACAACAAAGATGATAACTTGGTCGAGAAAGATGAGAACTTGATGAGCAGAAATACCAATAATTCAGTGGACGAGAAGAAAGAGAGTGTTAATTTCGCCAGAGAAAGTGGAGTTGGAGAAATTGGCTCGGAGTTGTTGATCCCGGGATTATCAGGTGGGCCGGAGAATCGTGGGGGAGAAGATTTTGAGGACGAGTGGGAGAGTGAAGAAAGTGAAGACGACTTGCAGATAGTGTTGAATGGGCCAATGGGGATGGAAAGAATGGCGGGAATGGATGACAATGACGACGAAGATGGGGAGCCACTGGTGATTGTTGGGGATAATGGTGACACAGGCCACAACCACTCTCAGATGACAGAGGAGCAAGTGTGGGATGGTGAGGATGTGGGGCCTGGGGCAGAGGGACAGAGGAAGGAGTTGGGTGAGGCAGCCAAGGCAAGTGGAGGAGGTGCGGTGGCTTCAACAGTCGCACCGCCTAAGATTGGGATCAGCAATCATGCTTACCATCTTCCCTTCCATTCACAATTCAAGGTCAGCATCTTGTTCGATGAGAACTTGAAATGTAAATTGGATTGTAGTTGTACTTACAACATTTGTATGGTGAAAGTGTGGAAAGTAGTGATATTGAAGTTTATCAGTGTTTGTTTTACTGGTGGGGTTAACTATTGTACTGATTGTAATCTTTCACTGTCAATGAAATTAATTACATTTTTCCTGAAACTAATTTCTGACTGAGAGTGCGTTAGTGATGTTTGGAAACCTAAAATCTATGGTTAAGTTGAAAGTTATCAATCAATTATGCAATTATGCGCTGTTTAAGGGATCTTTCAACAGGGGTGCGAGAAGCCTATTGAGTTTATGGGCTAAGCTAAACCCTATACAATCAGCAGTTTGCAGATAGGCAATGAATCGTTTCATTCAAGTGCACGTGAATACAATCTTTTCACGGTTCCTGTTGCCAAGAGCATTTATCAGTTAATAGTTTTCTATCCAGATGCGTCTGAAATGATGATTGGAAAAAGTAACACGATTACATGTCGAATGCGTAATCACTAGAACTCAGATTTTTTGATACCGCTTTTAGTTCTGTTTTCTGTCACTATTACTCATGGTCAAAAATGATTTCTGAAACATGTCAGTATATTTTGGTATGATTGCTAGATTGTTGTAGGCATTTGCAATATCCTGGTAAATGGTCACTACCAGCACTCTGGCACGAAAAAGTCTTGAAAACGAACTGCAATATATTTAAGATTATTTCATTTAAGTCACTCTAGGAAGCTTTCCACCTTTCTCCCGATCCCTAATATCAATATTATTGTGAATGATGTATGAAAAAGACGATGATTTTTTTGGGAAGCTAATTTTGGCTAAGCTTGCAAGTGGGATTTGACTTCCCTAAACAAAATGATGACAGTTTATATTTTGTTTAATTCAAATAGCATGGTATGGAAAACAACTGAAACTGCTTTTACACACCGATTCAATTAATCGTGAATGATTCTGGTCATGTCCGTCAACAGTACTGTCTTGTACTTCCTCGTTGTCTATTTTTGGGATTAAGACTGTAGAGGAAGTTTAAAACTTAATCAATTCTATCAATAACAAATAAAAGTTATAAACCAATAGTAATTATTTTTGCAAGTAACCATTGTCTGGTGCTGACGTTGCATTGAACCGGAAAGGACGACTTAAGTTATTTCTGTTCTATCCAGTACTTTGCTATTGACTAAATTCTCTTTCTAAATCTGCAGGGTCTGCTTTAACATAGTGAAAGATAACTGTAATTTGGAACTTTGAATTTCATAAATGTGCAATCTCACTATTTTTTGATTTGTTCTAATAAGCTTGAAAGCTTTACTACATTCTTTCAACTGCGTCCTCGACTATTTTAACTTTGTTTTCTTTCCCTACTTTTTTGTCACTGGGAATCATTTAGTACGTGAGACCTGGTGCAGCACCTATGCCTGGAGCAGTTCCCATGGGATCTGGTGGAACCCCAGGTCAAGTTCGTCCAACTGTCCCCATGGCCCCTATTGTTGGACGTGGTAGAGGTGATTGGCGACCATCAGGTATAACAGCTGCTGTCCCCATGCAGAAAGGGTTTCGTCCAGGTTATGGAATGCCCGTTTGGGGAGCTAATGCAGCAGGGCGTGGTTTCGGAAGCGGATTGGATTTTACTCTACCATCACACAAGTATGTTATTTAGGTGCATATGTCTGAGCTCCATTACAACAATATTCTTGATTCTTGGTTACACTCTTTCTTTATGTTTTCTTTTTATGTCACTAAATCAATATTTCCAAATGGAAACTGACTGCTTGATGGAATTGGTGAGTGTGACTATCATTTTTAACCTGATATCTACAAAGCTTGCAGTATCTTACGACTTGTATATCCCACTGCAGTTTCTTTATGAAGTTAGGCACCTTACGAGTCAATAGAAACGTCGTAGATTGTATTTGGAAATTTCATGTTTCAGTATATGATATCATGCATCTGGTTTATAATTATTTTGTGTTTGCGGACATTGTGCCTAATAATCATTTCTGTTGGTAAACAAATAATTCTTCTCCCCTTTTCCATCGTCATATCTTCCGTTCTATCTGAAAATTTTGACAAGATACAATGTGAAAGTCCTGTGTAGTTGAATTATATCCAAATGAGGCCCGTTCTCATGTTAATCAATGGTTTCAAAGTTGAAAGTCTGATGGCCTGTCCTTCTATGTTATACATGCATGTATGATGTCAACAAATGATCTCAAATATACAGTTTGTTAAGTGGATGTGACTTGTAGTTAGGGAATTACTATATAGAGGGAGGACATTTAAAGGAAGTGGGTAACCATATATGCAATTGCGTTTATACAAACATTGTATGATGTTATTGGGTAGCTCATGGAGAATATATTAAAAAATGTGTGCTCTATTTTGTTCACGGCATCAATTAATTATGGCTTAGTTCCAAGTTAGGGATTAAAAGTTTGGTTGAACTATAAGCAGTGTGAACTCATGTAGAATATGTACTTAAAATCCTATTGCTTACAATGTCCACAAGATACATTAATCAATTAATTGTTCAAAAATGATCATTAACGAAGTGAGCTGCTAAAGGCTTGTTATCTTGCTGTATTCCTTTAATATTTTCCTCTTGCTCACTCTTTGATAATCTTTTCTTTTCTTTTCTTAGCTGATCAGCAATATGCTCTATCAATTATCTTTGTACTTATCAAGGAAGAATTGACATGTGTTCTTTCTTAATCTCTCTCTCTCTCTGTCATTTCTTCTCTTGTGCTCTCGTCCTCTCATGTTGAGGTAAAAACATTTGAATCCATTATCCCAAGATAAATGGAATTCTAACTTAATTCAGTTAAACATTCCACCACCTTTATATTTATAATTTCACTACATTTATAGGGGAATAGATTAACAATTAAAAATTTTGAAGAACATAATTAAAGTCGAGGTTGGTTGGACTTTAGTTGGGCAGTGCATCAACTCGAATGAATGAATCTTGTAATGCGCTTTCTCAATGTTTTCTTAATACAGATGCTGCTACCATTTTTTGGGAGTGGCTGGTACTCCTTTTAAATTGACCCTTATTCTCTCTCTCTCCCTCTCTGGCCTTAGCAACCGTCCGTGAAGGCATATCTACTTGATGCTATCTGATAAAAAAGGTGTCAATCTTCTGGTAAAAAAGTTAATCCTTTTTCAAACAAAATGCTTTTGTGGTAGGCTACATCTTATTGATAAAATGATCTTTTTCACTACAAATTTATTAGAAAAAAGGTAATCATTTGTTTGTGTATCTAAAGTTAGCATGCATGTACCCAACCTTTATTCTGAGAATGTGATTGAAGAAGACACTGTGTGCAGATTTTTTGTTGTATGTTACCAGTGTATGTATATATATGCCAAAAAGATAAGTTGTTACATCAATTGTGTGGTTGGACAAACTGTTGTAGACATCTGAGTTTTCATGGTATTGTGGTTCCGTAGTGGCATATGTGACACTTGACTATTGTTTTTGGACCCTGCTTAACTTTTAACTTCAAATGTGAGTTTGAAGTGCATAAATAGCTCTTTATTATCAACAATGTTACTGCATTGTAGTTTTTATTACTAATTCAGTACACTGGGCCCCCCGTGTTACATCTGGTTGTCGATGTTCTGGTAATTCTTAATAGGAACTTCTGTTTTGAGGTGGCAACAATTCTTGAAATTAGTTTAATGATGCTATTAGTTGTTTATGGTCTTATTCACATTTTGAATAGTCATTATTGTTTTTTTTTTTTTTGGTAAAATATAAACACCTATACTCACGGTGACAAAGACTGGATAAAAACCACGCCTCGATGTATTCTTTCTACAATTTACACTTGTTTGGTTGCCCTGATTAGTGATTCACCATATAGTTTCTCCTGATGAAATGCTGGCAATTATGGATAATTTATGTGCTGATGATAGAGTTTCATGCCTTCGTTTTTCTATTGTTAGGACCATATTTGAAGTTGATATCAATAGCTTTGAGGAAAGACCGTGGAGACTTCCAGGCATTGATGTCTCAGACTTTTTCAACTTTGGTTTAAATGAGGACACTTGGAAAGATTACTGCAAACAGCTGGTAGGTCTGAGAGTCAAATTTGCGTTAGTTCCCATGCTTATTCAAATTTGTTGAGCTCCTACATTTATGTGCTTATTTGTTTAACGGTCCATGGAAGTGGAAGCTAAGAAGTTGAAAAAAATCTTTAGGAACAACTCCGCCTTGAGACAACTATGCAAAACAAGATTCATGTCTATGAAAGTGGGAAAACAGTACAGGTATTGAATTGCCCTTTTACAGACACACGCACACATATATAGCACTTGCATGTGTGGATACTTCATTTAGATAATGTTTGTGTATGATACTTTTCTGTTACCATCCTTTTGATTGAGAAATTGTTCCATGAGTTTTATTACTCGATTCTTCTCCTTTTGCTTGCTGTTGTATTTTAGGAGTATGATCCTGATCTTCCCCCCGAGCTTGCAGCAGCAGTCGGCATCCAAGATATTCCATCTGAAAATGTAAATCTCGGAACAGATGCTGGTGGAAATGACTTAGCAAGAGCATCAGCACTTGGACGGCCCCCTCTTGTATGTTTTGGAATCTATGTTTTCTTTATGATTCATGTTGGAGGAGATTTGGAAGCTTTTATCCATGCTACCTTTATGCTCAATTTTAGGATCTCTATGGAATACCTTAGCCACTGTCTTCTTCACTTAATTCTTTCTAGAAAGTTATTTTCAGCTTTGCCCTTCGAAAGGGTCAATAAAAGTTCTTTGAAGTTTCTAGTAAGCAAACCAGTAGTATTATTATACAGTTTATTCAATGTCAAAAGTATCGTCTCACCAGCTTTCTTTCATTTGAAACTAGCCCGTTGGCAGACCAATACCGGTTGAAACTGGTGCTGGTGACCGTCTCCCATCCATTGACACCAGGCGTCCGCGAATGCATGATTCAGATGCAATAATCGAGGTGAGCAGTCACCTTCTTCTCTTCCTTGGCACTAAAAAAATTTGTTAACATCATTGCATCTGTCACACTACTGATGTTTTTTGGCGGACAGATTGCGTGTCAGGCAGATGATGATGACATGGCTGAGCATCAACAAAACGAACCGTCGAGAAAGGATCTCAGAAGGGATGATGAGATTGATGACCTTCTGCAGGAGGATACAGAAAATTATGATGGCTTTTCACATGCGTGTGATGACCGTAAGAAGGAACTGGTTAGAAGAAGTGCACAGTTCAAAAAAACTGTTCTTGATGATGAGATTGTAGGCGATGATACTTTGGATTTCCCTCCAGAAGCACCTGAGAAATACCATCCTGGTCTGGAGTTTAGTGTCCATGAGGAGAGGTAGTAAAATGTTGTATGAATATCTTTACATTATTTCCACATCGACTGGTTTCCTTTTCCTATCTCTTTAATTGTGGCTGACTGGTGGTGCTTCTCTCTTAGCAACCCTCCTGCAAATTGGATAACATCCTAGGAGCTAATGAGTTTGCTTGATATTAGCATGGTTACCTTGCAGAATGGTCGGTAGCTTCTTTGTGTAAAGCAGGATACTGAATTTCATATACCTGCAAAAGAAAGAAGCCTAATCAATTAGTTTTTATAGAATTGATTTTCACTGGGAAAAAAAAAACCGCATTCCATGAAAGGTTAAAAAGTACCTAATAGCGAGACTGGTGAAGTTTGGAACGGATGGGAGCCCATTTCTAATTTACATAAGTTGACTGTGGATTATTATTTTGAAGTATGCTTAACTAGTTTGGGATGGGAAATATTCTTGTAATTTTCTTTCAGGTGTTGAACTAATCCTTTTTGTGAGATTGCCACATCACTGAATCCAAACGTGCTGAATGATATATCTTTCCTCAAAAGAATTTGGTCAACTTATTTTACGTTTGTTAAAATTCTTCATGTTGTCATTTAGCTTTTTTTTTTTGGTTGTTCGGCCATAAGCAAAAGAGGTCCAAGAATTTACTTTATGTTGGTTTGGTTTTTAGTACAATGATTAGCAAATATTATATCTAATCTACTCATTGAAACAACTTACATCTTGTGCCATCTAACATGCTTTTAAATTGCTTTCATAGGCTGACAAAAGGAAGAGCACGTTTTGGGTCCCCCAGAATGGCTTCTTTTGAATATGAAAAAGAAGAGCAACATGGTGATAATGAGAAGGAAGAATCATTTGAAAGTGGGGATGATAATCACAGTCATATGTCATCTCCCGTCACCATTGGGTCTGCAGGGGAGCAAGTTGTGAGCAATAGGGGTAATACTGACAATGATTTGGAAGCAGATGAGAGAACCTTTGAAATGGAAAGAGAGGAAATAGCTTTGGATGCAACCACTAGAAACGATGCACCTGAAGAGGAGAATTCAATGTATTGTACAAAGAAACAAGCGCAAAGCTCACGAGGGGAAGAACCTTCTGAAGAAAATGATGGTGAAGACTCAAAGGCTCCAAGTGGTAGTGAAAACAGCAAACAAAGATCAGAAAGTAGTAAAGATTATCGAAAGTTCCACGACAGTGTCGAGGACAAAGTCAATTGCTCTATGCACACTGATAACATCAGGAGACCAATGGGATATGAGGATACTGATAATAGGAAAGGTCATCGTGAAAGACAAGAAACGAGAAGACACCGCATGGCAGTGAAAGGGGTAGAAGATTCCTATGCACATAGAGGTGTGGATCCTAACTCTGCTGTTCATATGCATGTGAAAAGTGAGAGTACAGACTGGAGAAAGGAGAGTGATGTTTCTGAAGGAGGCTGGCATCGGAAAGATGAGGATATATATGGGAGAAGGATGAGAATCAATGACCCGAGAAACAGGGAGCATGGTGGAGAAATTGGGTCCAGGCATTGGAGCAAGGTTAGAGAAAGTGAGGGGGGCGAAAAAGATGAATATCAACAGCCAAAAAATCAGTTGGACAATAGCAGCTGGAGGGGAGCTAATCATGATAAAGATTTGGGATCAAAACATGGAGATAGGGTTGATAATTTCAAGAGATGGAATGAAAAGGTGGATGATCTTCACAGCAAAAGAAGCAAGGAAGAGGTACCTATAAGTAGGGAGTACACTGAAAATGAAGGAATCTCGCATAATCACCGAGAAAGCGGCAGCCGGAGGAAGAAAGAAAGAGATGAGGGCTTGGATCAGCGAAAAAGAGATGACCAAGCCAGGTTGAAGAATGATGATCTACATTATGTTAGGTTAAAAGAAGAGGGATCATTTCAGAGGAAGAGGAATGAGGGGCAGAGAGAACGTGATGAATGGCATCGGCTTAAACAGTCCCATGAAGAAATTTTATCAATGCGAGAAAGAGAAGAAACACGGGCAGGAATGAGAAGTGGGCGAGGTGCTGAAGACAAAACATGGACAAGTCATTCTAGAGGGAAAGATGAATATAAGGGATCTGGTAGAGAGCATTACTCTAAGGATATCGGGTGGCAGAGCGAGCAACTTAAGAGAAGAAGTCGAGCTGAAAATGATAGTCTCTCACAGCATAGGGGCTACGAAGACATTTATGCACGCGTGAATCAACTCAGTAATAACGAAAAAAGAGCAAAACGTGAAAGGCCTACCACTCGTGAAGAGCGCATTGCCTTTGCTTCTGACACTTCTAGGCTGCATGAAAATAAACACAAAGAGAGCAATAGAAAGAGTAAAGAATCTGAGAGCGGAGATCATAACTTCTTGATCCCTTCTAAGAGGAATCAAGATGAGCACAGTGGACAGAGAAGTGAGATGGTACGTCTTTCTTTAGACCCAATTCAATAGCATTCCATGCAGGCATACCTTCCAGTAGAAATTCTGATTATGAAATGAGTTAATACTCCCAAGGTCACATAAATTTGTATTACTAGTAATACTTTGATTATCTAGTAATCAACAAATTGGTTCGATATTTACTGACCGATTGTTGTGATTTTCATATATGGATGAGTAGTTGAAAATTCAGCTGCCTGAATTATGTATTACGGTCGCTTTACTTAGGCTGTTCCTTTGAGGCGATACAGGTGTGATGTAAAATTGGATTCTGTTGGCAAGATTGTTGTGTTAAGAATACAAAATCAGTCTAAGTTTTGGTTTAATCTGTTTACACGTCTTTTTCTTCTGCCGTCGTTTCTGAATAATTTTTTTATGTAGCACTTGTTAATTTCTCATGAGTTATAAAATTTTTCATTTTGCTGGACATTTTATTATAAACAGCCTACTTTCTTATTGGTTTGCGTTGATATCATTACAGATTCCTTCAACCCGGAATTATAGTAAGTGAGACAATGTGCTTTTTGTTCTTGTAATGTTCACATCCTTTTTCTTCTCCTTTTGGTCTTGGCAGGACAAGAGGTTGGAAGAGAAGGGGGAAGGGGATAGTTAGATGTATTATTACTTAAATCATTGACATAAATCACGATTTAATAACTTATATTTTTTTGTATACAGCAATTTCATCTGATGAGAATTCACGGATCTGGAGCCTCACTGTTAACACTAGTTACACGGCATATATTAATGACTCAAATCCATTACACACAACTTTAACTCTTCATTAAATGATTTTATGGAAATTTGGAGTGCATGATGGATCTGGAGTTGTTGATTGGTTGGCGTTGCATTACTAAACCACCAAGGGTCAAAATCAAGAATGC